GAAGGAGAGATCACTGCAATAGGGAAAGGATCCAGTTTCTAGTCTGAATGCACAGAAGGTGTCACAGTGCAGCTTGCCCTCTGTCTTAACACTTCTTGATTTTGGTTTCTAACATCACAGGCTAAATCAATTTCCCCCTTCTGGACCAGAGCTGGAAGAAAAGCTTAAGTAAAATGTCTTTGTCATAAAGGATATTACTCCCCTGCAGTGCCAGATGGGTCTACAGACGTGCAATTCATCCAATATTGGGAGGTGAACGTGGGGTTAGCAAAACCATTTTCCACTACTCTCTTAAGCCTTTTTTGCTTTTGCTATCCCAAGTGGTGGTTCATGGTTTCAGGCTTTTGCCATACTGCAAGATTTAAAGTCCTGAGCAAGGAATACAGGACAGGAATGAAAGAACAACACATGCTGAAGAATATTAATCTGAATTACCTTTCAAAATGAAATCATTAAACAGATCCACTCTGCAAACACTCTCAATCAAAAGTAAAGAAAAAGAGAGAAAACACTTTCCTTTGACTCCCACTGCTGCAACAGTACATAGTTTACACTGCTTCTACCCCAGCTCTCCATCCTAGCTTCTGAAAGCAGAGTAGCTTAACATCCTTCCCAGGGATCAGCCTTCCTTATCTATAAAGTCTAGAAAATGAAGGGGATAAATAAAGTAAATAAATAAAGTAAAACTATTCTTTGAGAACTGCCATACCTAGGGAAATACCCACAGAGTTAAGGTGGGAAGACAGCACTGGGTTAGGCTTAGATTCTGCCTATACCTGGAAGGTGTTTCTGCGTGTCTGAGCAGATGTGCTGCTGTTAGAGAAAATACACCTCCCTTACAGGTAATTGCACTCATCTGAATAAATTTCCTGCTCCTCTTTGGTAGACAAAATATATTTACCTCAGTTATATTTTCACTATTTTCTTGCAGTTTTGGAAAACTGATGCACATCCTGTTTAAGCCCCATTGCTTGCAAGTGGTCAGAAGATCAGAAGGCTCCCAACTAATCCATGCAGTTTTGTGTAGCTGTAACATGGCACTCATGCCATGCAGGGCCCCATCACAAACATCCCCTGCTCACACATACCCTGACAAGGGGGAAGGACAGCAGAACAGAGGTAGTTAGGAGCAGCCTACCCCAGCTAAAAGAGCCACTTCTTTTGCCTGCAAGCCTCTTCCAAGTTATCCCAGGAAGCTGGCCAGATTAATTACCCTGGTAGACCACACACAGCCCATGGGTAAGAAGCCTTTGCCTTGAAAAACCGAGTTGAATTATGAAACTCTCTCTCTTGTCAAAGGTGCCAGACTTGAAAAATAACACTGCACAAGATTCCCTTCATTCAGCTGCTATGCTTTCAGTTGTGCTCGTTTAGGATGCAGCCCATTGCACCCTGTTAGCAGACAGCTGTTGGAGGGCAAATGCACAGTGGTAGGAGGGGAATTGCAAAACTCACCTAATCCTAGCCTTCTAGTTAGAGGACTCCAGAATATGGATACTGTTTAAATCACAGACAAGTACATGCATTTGTCACCAGCCTTCCAATTTCCCTGCCAGGTCCACTTTTTATGAATGACTGAAGTGTAGAAATCAGCCAGAATCCTGCTTTCAAAAGGTCCAGAGCTGGAGGAATTCTTATGAATCTCAAATCCTGCCAGGTAGGAGAATCCAAGGGATTCTCCAATGCATACTGGATGGTGACTGAGGTTACTGTTAAATCAACAAGATTCTGGGTAGGCAGAATTTTGTCAGTGACGTAGTTCAGTGTTCATTTCTGGACGCATCCTTTAAGTATTGAGCAGAAAGGACTATAATTTGTCTACAATGCAAAAGCTGTATTTTCTTTGGGTACCCAAAGTGCTAAATAACCTTGCAAACATCTGAAGCAGCACAGCACCTTGCGAGTGACTTACCATGACAGTGATTGTTTCTCTACAACTGCACAGCACATGGGCAGGAACTAGAGATGCTTTAAGGTGGACCTCACTGTTCCAACCCTTTGTTCTAGCACTAGAGTTCACAAAACAGCACACACAGTGCTGTGTGAAACACATGGGTTGGATTAGTGTGAACTAAAAGGGAATTGTTCTAAGGTGCTGGACTGTGAAATGGAGTGGCTGCGTTCCCCTACACCAATTCTGTTGCAGGAGGGCAACCTCTAGCAGAGAGACAGGAACAAATTACTGCAGGCAGTGACATGGAAATTGCTGCAGCTGCTTGTTTGGGCACACAGAAGCCAAGGCAGACAGCCTTGTTTCAGCAAACACCAGCGGGTTTGATGAGACCTAGTGGTGGGCACTTCAGACCACAGAGGAAGATTGAATCGAACCATCCCAAGAAAGAGAAATGTTAAACAAAATCAGAGAAATTTTGGGTTTGAGAAGCAGCTTGGATGAGAGAAAGAAATTTACTTGAAGGCAGTAACCTGCAAGTCTACCATTGGTAAAAGCACTAAACAGCTTCCAAGGTTGTCTTCCTAGACATGGAAGAGGATTGCTGCTGGAGACACGCATCACTTCCCATGGTTATTTTCTGCACCTTTAGGAAAGTTTTCCTTTGTCTATCTGAATTCATTTTCACAAAGTACTTGACAGCTTGGCATAAGCTTGATATGCTTACTTTAGTCCTTGCTAATTACACAGCACCTCAGCAATCGATGGTACACTAGCCAAATAAATTCAGAAAATAGTTATCTCAGTAAGACATTGTTTGGAGCAACCCAATGAATAAAACTTTAAATCGATGCTTTAAAATAATAAAATTATACTTTTCTCACTGCTAGTGAAATTGCAGGCAACTCAATTAAGACTATCTTGTTAAAGTCTGAACAAAATTCTCTGCCAGAAAGGAGGCTTAAAGGTGGGTGGAAGAATGAACATGATATACAAGAAAGGCAGTACTTGTCTTTTGGCTACCTACAATAAAAGGTGGCTCCATGGAGTAACACAAACTTCCTAGGAAAAAGAAGTTGCCTTCTAAGGACAAAAATTTTCCCATGCCAGAAACATCCTCCCAAGAAGTCCTGTTTAATCAAATTGCAAATGCAGTAAAATTCCCTACTGTCTTTCTGATGGGGCAATGAAAGTCTCAAGTCATCAAGGACAGTCATCAATAAACAGCCATCACACTGACTCAACTGTCAAGGCTTGAGTTAAAATAGCTCTCTATCTCAAAACTTGAGTCAATGTTGACAAAAGTTTAGCAAAAGACTCAAAAATACATATCCTTTCTGGAATAATGGGAATAAAAGAAAACCAAACCAGCCAGAAGTCACCAGGGCAAGCCACAAGCCAATCACTACAAGAGAGGCCAAGCTAAGCACAATGAAGCCCAACTTCAACCCTGACAACAATCAGGCATGACCATTATCAATGCTACACAGCTTCAACAGTAACTGAAGCATTTGGCACCAACCCACCACACCAGGAGTCCACTGATCTTTGTGAAAGATCCAGAAGCAGTGAAAATATAAGAAAAGATGAAGAAACTCATTAAATGCTCAACTAAGTACAACAGTTTAAAATAAACTAAAGTTGTGGGATTACATGATTTGTTGTTTTTAAACACCCTTTAAGAACATAGTAAATGGTTATATTCACCAGTTACCATCAAATTTCTTTACAATTCTATTTATTACACCTATATTTAGGCAAATCTCTCTCTTTTATGTGGGATAATTTAGAAATAAGGTAGGCATATGCAACAAATTCTAATAGAAAATACACCTTCACATGACTAAGAAATACAGAAAAGGTGGACCTGGCTGTACAACACACAGCTTCAGAATTCCTCACAAAGCCTGAATGAGCTCAATCACCAACCCTCCTGCACCATAGTGCAGGATTGAGGCCCATTTAAAATTCTCTTCACAAAACAGCCTGTAGCACAATCTTTAACAAAACCAAGATAAAAACCAAATTAATGTTTGAATAACACAAGAACTTTTTTAGGCAGAAAAAAGGCATGGCTTAGTTACATATCACTACAAAATAATGGTGGAATGAAGTGAAATTATGCTATCTATCACCCCTGGGCCATCTGAGCTGGTTTCAGAAATGGAAACCAGCAGGAGAACAACTAGTTCTCTGAACTGTTTAGCCACTGATAGCTAATCTCTTGTTTACTGTCCTTTCTCCCCCTCATTCTCTTAAATCTGGACTTCAGAGAATGCACATTAAATGATTGAACAGACCTCAGTGCTGTTTTCTCCTACACCACTGCAAAATAGTAGCATATCAAGAACTTAAAAAGAAATGTTGTACAGATCTGAAGTGGACAGAATCTCTATTAATACAAGAGTTTCTGTCCAGTTCAGAATTAGTTTTCAAATATTAAAATATTTGATACAGTATTAGAGATTATTTGAGAAAACAGCACATACATTTATGAAGTGCTGCAGATTCAGCTGGTGTTTTGAAACAAAAACAGTAAGTGTTTCTAAGTAAAATATCATCTGTCTATAGTACTCAGTATGTAGAATTTCAGAGGGAATATTTGAAACACCAAAGAGGAAACAGAGTGGCATTTACAGTTCCTAAGCTCAATACCAAACAGCCTCCATTTAAAACAAACAAACCCCACCACAGACAACACAAAAGCTTTAAGCTGTTTTCCCCTGCTTGGATATCCAAGTTTCTCTGACCACAGAGCAGTTCAAGGTTTTCAAACTCAGGTGAAACCTTGTAGCAGAGACCATTTCCTCAAACATCCACTACTGCCATGTAGGTAACCAAGTGTACTGGTACCACTTTGGCCTTTTGTTCAACCTTACAAAAGAACAAACTTGTCCTTATTCTACTGAAATATTAATTCACATTCCACAGGCAACAGAAACCAAACGAGATAATTCTGTAACATGCAACTCACCAAGGCTGCACATACTTTCAAAGCCAGATTCTGAGAATATAATGGTCTTGATAGATTTAAAGATATCAACAGCCATTACAACTTTTATTGCAAGAGAAGACAAATAAAGCAAAATAAAGCAAATGAGTCACTTACCAGTACTAATGACTGCTTCTGCATTAACAAATTAATTACCTTTAGGACCAAGAAAGGGTATTAAGCAAGTTCTGGCACATATCCACTGCATTGGTCAAATGGGAATTAGCAACACTTAGTCATCCACATCCAAAGTAGAATTTTTTTTAAAGGTAAAACCCATCTAAACAAACTATGGTCACATTTTAGGTAAGATTACTGCTGCTGCTATTTCTACCACGAGTTTTTAATCAGTCCTTAGCCCCTTATATCACTGAGGAATCAATAAGCTGATAGCAAGCAATGCTTTCCTGGACACGTAATTAACAAAGCCCTGGTCCATCTAAGTCACAAATACAGATTGTACAGAACAGAATGTGTGAGAGAGAGAGGGGGAGGGAGAGAATTAATTATGAATGCATCTAATTTGGCTATAGTACAAGCTGCACATGTGGACTGAGAAGAGTCCACGGCCCACGGTGTGTAGGCTGTCACCAAATTGCATTTTGCTAATATTTCATATCTGTAGCCAGCAAATTAAGGCAGCCAAAGTGCCTCCTGCCCAGGTAGCTGTGCTGGCTGTGTTTAGGTATCAGTTTGACAGCTACAGCTTAGTTTTGCTTAATATGGTTTCTCTTAAAATTTCAACAGCTGGCTGAATGCTCTAGCAGCTTTTAGTCAAATTATGCAAGGTTTCAATTTTCATCTTAAACCCTGCAGAAAGGAATGTAATCATATTATGCTAATAAATAACCAGTGCTTTCAAGGTCAACAGAGGAAAGAGATCATAAAATTGTACAAATCAAAAATATAAAGAAAAGTCTTAAGCAGGCACAAGTTCTAATTTATTTCACATTGATGCTTCACACTAGTGGTCAAATAAATGCTGTTTTGCTTTCATTTTTGCCATTCATTTTGATATCCTGAGGTATTGTAACCAGCAGGAGGAGAACATTAGCTGTGATGGAACATTTGCTTTCTGAGAGCTCTTAAATTCACCAAATGTCCTCACTGCATATTTGGGTATGTAATGGTAGAGATATACCTGAAGCAGACAGAAACCTCAGAAAAACATCACAACCTTACAGTCTACTCAACCAAGCTAATTTCCTAAGAACAAAATATTTAGGGGTATCTAGCCATAACTGTTTCTATCTCAAACAAGGTATTATGGTAGTAAGTATCATTTACACACAGAGGTAAATTATTAGATCCATAATGACCTAGCAACTTAAGTATTTTATTACTAAAGTAGATTATGTTCCTTCAGAACTTGATAGAAAATCAGCTGCAAACACGCAGGACCTATCACTTCAGTTAGAGGCAGAATAATGAAAAATGTTGATAAGCCCTGCTGCTGAATAATAGCCACTCCTCTTAATAATAGCACCTGAGATTCGTCTGCATTTGGATATGGCTCCAAAGCATCTGGATTTTTCTTGACAGCTTTGAGATTAGGAACAAGAAGGTCACCAGGATTTGGTTTGTAAAATTTTCTCTCATTCAATATTTTACTCATATTTCATATTCAGTGCAACAAGAGAAAAATCAAGGTAAGGTACTCAAAGGCATGAATAATCTTGATTTTTTTTTTGCCTGTATCGGTATGGATACAGCCATTATCAACACTGGTATGGAACTAAGAACATAAGTTTTTCCTTAAAATATTAACAATAATTAAGTATCAATTGCACAGCATATTTGCATGCACTCCAATAGGGAGCACAGAATGAGGCAGCACGTGACAGAAGCAAGCTCTAGGGAGACAGGGTCACTCCATTAATAAATCCACATGGACTGCAACAGATGCCACCTCCTGTCTCAGCCATTACAAAACACTTGATCACTTGCTCCGGTTTTGTTTGCCATGTACAGCATAATCAAGAAAATGACTTCTCAAGTAACACTAATCTTTAGAACATTATGATTATTTTACTCCTACACAGAACATTGACACTGTCCTTGTTTTAAAGGCTACAGATATGGGAGGAACTTGCTGAACTCATCCTGCAAGCACCAGCAGAGGCAGCAATGTGCGTTTGTTTCTCACACTGCCCTCTGTGCTTTGCAGGGTCACTGCCTCCAGACAGCTGGGAAGTATCCACCTGCAGACAGACAGACAGCACAGATCCATGCAGCACTTGTGGAACAAGGCACACAAGGAAATGATGGTGAGCCACTGAAAGGCAAGGGAGAAACCAAACTGCTCAGGAGTAAATACAATGATACACACGTGCCTGGAGCAAACCCCAAGTGGCCCCCACACAGCACTGCTTCAGAGACCCACTTCCTACCATTCAACTGCCAAGTGAAGGCCACTAATAGCACAAACCCTAGAAATCACAGTGGATGTAGAACAGCCAAAAGGAGCAGTAGGAATTCGTTTTCATCCCCCCCCCCAAGTTATCACAGATCTTCAATACAGAAAACTATTCCCATCTTAGAAAATCCAAGTACACTAACAACAGTTACAGAAACAGTCACCATACACTGCTGCTTTAGCTGTTGGAAGTCTCTACTCCCACCCCTGGATTTTAAAGACATGCTTGGCATGACTGCTCAACCAGATCTGCCTGAAGATCTTAACAGGCTCATTCTGTGTGAGTACCAGCTGAACAGAAATTGCAGCCCCAGCACTCAGCCAAGCATGTCATGCCCATCACACACAGCTTGCTACGTTAAAGCAGACAAGACTGCAATAACCTTGGGCTTTTAAGACAACAAATACTAATCACCAGTTGACACCAGCAAGTCCTGCTTTCTAGTGAAGAGTTTTCACTTTTGCACGTGTCACCTCAAGAATCATCACATTTTTAATTGCTTCAAACACTGCAGTGATGGTGCCAAGGACTCTTATCTTGAACTTGTAAATCACTGGTCTTGCTATGAAATAACATCACAAGGAAATGTTTCTAACCATGGCTAAACACTACCCACAGCACACCTGTCAGACCGAAAAATAAATTCAATTTTTATATGAAGTAAGAACCAATTTATTGAGGGGAAAAAAGTAAACTGTAGAGCTTTATTGCTACCATAATCATTTTCTGTTATCTGATTCTTTCCTGACTGACTGCACACACAACTGCCTATAAACATCAATAGGAAGTACATAATGACAACTTGGGGAGGGGAGAAACAACCTTCACCAATCTTCCCATCAGCTTTTAGAATTACCCTCTTCTCCCTCAGCTTTGGATAATATATGTGGACATAAGTTATCTGAAAAATGGCTGTAGCCTTTAAGCTCTCAAGGTATAAGCTGGTACATATTTCCTTGTAGCAAATGATACTACATCATTTAACTTGTTTTTAAACTAACACATATTGAAGGCAACAGATATTATGAAGAGGGCAGGTGATGTAGTTGGTGACACTAATGGGTGTTAAAGAACTGCACAACATGCAGAATGCAAAAGTGCTTTATTTTCAACAGTTTGCACCCAACTACAAACACCTGGATAAGAGATTTTTTTAACTCTGGGAAAACAAACAAACAGAAAAAATCCCAGTCCAAAAGAAGCAAATAAAGTAGCATCAAAAAATTGTAAAAAACACAGAAATGAAAGAGGGTTTGGCCTCTGTTGCACAGATGCTTGGGGTGTCAGGCAGTAGCTATGCAAGGTAAAAACATGTGTGGGACACTGATTCTAACAGCTCTGAGATGATACACAAGTACAACCACATCACTCAATAATTTTTCCCCACTAGGTATCATTTCAGATTGATAACACAGCCACTACCAACCTCTTTCACAATTAGATCTCTCTATTGTTTCTCAATTCCAATACAAATAAAAATTACAGTTTTCTATCCCTATGGCTGATGTGGGTTTCACATGGGTCCAACACTTCAAATGATGTGACAAAGTGGGAAATGGCTGAATCACTTTATGAACATTTTGCATAGCTCAGCTTGGCTGTTTGAGACAGATAGGTTTCTGTAGGCAAGATCAAAGAGAGTTGTAGGAGGAATCTGACAGGAAAGAAAAACTATGAGTTAGAGAAGGAGCAACCCAACAAACATTCAAACCACAAGAGAGAAGCTATTAGCTGTGAAGAGACAATCTGCCTGCAGCCAGCAGTTAGATGCTTTTCCCAGGGCTAAGGGAAGAGAAACAAAATAAATAAGTAAACAAACACATTGGTCCATTGAAGAAAGGGAGGAGCAGGGCTAATACATTGACACTTTTAGAGGATGCAGCTGTCAGCAACCAATCCAACCTGTCTGACCTGGAGTCAGCTGGCAAGAAACACTATAAAAAATGGTCAAAGCAGCAGTAAATGCAGAAAGGTCCTTCTTTTTTACTGTTGGGTGAAGAAATAAATTAGCAGTCTAAGCTTTGCACAGATAATCCTACTGGTAAAAACTGCTCCAGCCACAAAAGGCAAAGCACCTAGGCAGATGAGAGAGAGAGTCTGACACAGGCAAGAGCATATCAGCTCTACAGGCAGCATCATAACAGAACATCAGCAACCAGGCCTGAGAGCCAGAGGCAGCCCAGCCATGCAGAGCAGAGCTCAGGTACAGCCAGCCCATGTAAAATATTGTTCTCATGCCAGCCCAAGGCACAGTACATCACATGAGCTGGTCAGGAAACAAACCAGGGTCAGAGGCACACACAGCTGTGGGACTCTCTCCATATGGCTCATCAGAAACATTAATCTCATTTCTCACTGATTTCTGAGGAGGTGAAAGAAGATGAATAAAGGTGTAAACTACCCTCTTCCCTACCTGCTTGCCTTAAACAATGAAAATCACTTCATGTAATGAGCACTTCATGCTTCTCTTGGTACGGAAGCAACATGATCATTTCTACCTTACCCACAGGGTCAGCCAAACACATCCCAGAAACCTCTAGAGCTCTTCTCGGTGCAGTGCAGGTTGGTGATGCTCAGCATGATCAAATATTTAGCCAACTTTATTTGTATTCAAGCTTTCATAATACAAATTTTGTAAAATAAAGTGTTCTTTTTTCACAATGTATATATATAAAGTTCTATTGGAACACGCTTGCCGTGTGCCTCACTTACCATGCTTTTTGCTGCTGGGCCAAATGCCAGAACAGTTCTGTTTTCCAGATTCCAGTCTTGGTTTTCTCTGGATGAATACTGGAATGAGCAGACTGACAAAGGACAATGCAGTTAAACCCTCTTTAGGAGGAACAAAGGTCCAAACATGGCATGGCAGCAGGTTTCCTGCTCCACCAGCAGTAGGAGGAAGGCCATAGCATGTTCTGCATAGGTAACAGTTGCAGTTTATACTCACACAGGCGTTTGCAAGTGCTGCCCCAGCAATACCATGAACAGGACATGC